TCTGTGCTGCAACAAAGAAATGCACCCTGCAAAGAAAGCTTCAAATCGGCGGGGAATTCTCCCTTGCACCGGGATTCTCTTTTGCAGCAGAAAACTCCACCGTGCAAGGAAGCTTGCAATTTAGCGGGGACAATTTAGCAGTGCCGAAGCACACACAAATAAAAATCACACCTTTTGGGTTGTGACAAGAGGCAATTGTATAATAGATCAAAACAAAGTCTTACTTTTGTATTCAGATTTCCCTTGATTTACACGGGTTCTGTATATGCAAATTTGCTCTTACGCGATTACCCTTTTTCTACCCAAAATTCCTTATATGTGAGGTAAATTCACTCTTATGCAATTGGAGCTCCACTTGTCCCCACTCACCCCAGCCCCTGGGCTGCACCCTGCCATGGTGCAGGCAGGTGGTGTCACCGTGCTGCAGTGCAGGCAGGTGGTTTTGGCTGCTCCCGGGTCTGCTGCAGCAGCTGGGATGAGTGGGGAGAAGTGGAGCCCTGGGAGGTTTGGAGCACAGTGCAGCCCAGTGTCTGTAGGCAGCTGGCATTGGCTGCTCCTATGACTGCCGCAGCAGGGGCTGGGGTGAGCAGGGAGAAGCGGAAGCCCTGGGCTGCAGCAGGCAGCAAGGCAGCAGGAAATGAGTGGGTGCGGGGCGTGAGGCAGCAGGGGTGCAGCTCTTGCTGCTGCATGCCCCCTGGGAGGGCTGCGGGCTGGAGGACTGCGTCGGGCTCTTCCCAGGGGGCGCGGGCTCCTGGATCTGTGCATGGTATGACAGCAGGCTACCACCGCAGGCTGGGGCTGGCGGTGGCACTGGGCTCTCCCTGGCACTTGGCCCCCCAGGAAGAGCCTGGCGCAGCCTAATGGCCCTTCCATTGGACGTGTAGCAGCAAGAGCTGCGTCCCTGCACCCACTCACAGTTTCCACTACTTTGCTGCCTGCTGCAGACAGGCTGCGCCGCACCCTTCTCCCTCCGCCCCTTCCCTAGTCCCAGCCTCACTTGCTCCCTCCCTCGCAGCCATGGAAAGGTATACCTGTTTGTTACATTATAAAGTGGGTTTGCTTTATGTAAATTCAGTTTATGCACCGTTCTCCAGGAACAAACGGACTACATAAATTGAGGGAAACCTGTATTGTATTGGGGGGGAAGGAGGTGTGGGGTATGTGTAGGCATGCAATGTGTGTCCTCCCCCCCTCCAGCCCATGACTGCCCCTGTGGTGCTTTGCATGGGGCCAAACCCTGCCTGCTTCCAACTGGAGCAGCCCACACTGTGTTCCCACCTGCACCTGCCCTGCACCTACCAATGGTCCCGGGTAACGTGGACTCTGCAGGACACGCTTGGAAATCTGGTTGTCACACCAGACAACAAGGCTAACCTATTTAACAATTTCTTTGCCTCCATTTTCCTGAGCAGGGACCAGATCAGCCCATCCACTGGGACCCCCTCAGGCCCCAGGGCAGGCGCACCCAGGCCTAGGGTCAGTGAGGACCTAGTCAGGGAACTTCTGGAGGGACTGGACATATTTAAATCAGCTGGTCCTGACGATCTCCACCCCAGAGTGCTGAGGGAATTAGCAGAGGTCATTGCGGGACCC